GAACAAAGAGGTCACATGACCGGATATTGTGCACGAATTAAAAGAGATATCTTGGCCTCCCAGGGTGATGACAAAACCTTGTACATTTGCAGTTATGTTAAACTTATATTAAAGTTTTTCTTCATCACCTATTCAAGCCGTCTCCAAGCATTAAAAGCTAAAGAAAGTCTATCTGCCCGTAGTCATCCCTACTTTGGGACTGATAGACCACAGGGAAGGCATCTAGTAAACAGCACCCTCCGCCAACTTTTGGACGACTTTAATAGAACATTTGAATTTGACCGTAACTTCAGTAGCACCCATGACCCCAAAGTGCAGAATGCGTTTTCGCGGTAATAAGACGTGGGCCTCGGATTGACGTCAACCATTAGTTTTTATATATAACCACATATACTTATATTTCTTTGGATTGGGCAGTAGTGATTAATATCCATACAACACCGTTCGTGTCGTGAAATATACGAGAAGTATTTAAGTGATGTTTGATAGAATCACCATTGTGGTCGTCCTCGAAGATATAACTCTTTTGTCCATAGGATATATCAGACGGTTGGTCTGCCAATTCTGATTCAGTGTTTGTTGTTGACTCTCTCTATCCGTTGATATTATTTGATTTTACAAAAATAACATACTTTTTTAGATCTGGCTGATAAATGAGGTCTCTCTCTCTCTCTTTCTCTATCCATTTTGAACGTTGGCGATCATGGTTTTCCATAGGTTCCTGTCTTTTGTACGTTTCAAAATCTCATTCACACTGACATCCATTTGCTTATGATACTGATGTAGTTTAACTTTGGTCTTTCACTATTTTTTCCAGTAATCAGTTTATTTTCAAGTTCTTCCTTTTTGTGTCTAATGAAATTCAACTGTCTTTCTCTGATGGTTATGATCAGCTTCCTCTGTGTCTCTGCTCTTCTCAGTACTTCCTCATTGATTATATGGTCTGTACACAGAATGTGTACCATTCTTCTACAAAACCATATTTCTGTGGTTTTAAGTAATTTTTCCATAATAGGCGAAATGGTCCAACACTCACTGCCATATGTAAGGATGGATTACACATAATATTGCAGTATTCTTTTTCTTGTAGTCATGGTTATGCTTTGATTTTTTTATATTTTTCATAACTTTTGAAAAGCTGTTTTTGTTATACTTATGCGCATTTGAATTTCTTCCATCAAGTGTTATGTTACTACCTAGGTATTTGAATTTATCCATCTGTTTGATTAATTCATTTCCAATATAAAGTTCACACTTCCAGATAGCAGACTTTTTGCTGATGACCATACATTGTCTTCTTAATGTTAATTGAAAGACCTTTATGGTTGCTTACCTCTACCACCATATCTAGTAATTCTTGTAAATTCTTCTGTGAGCTACAAATCAACTGGTAAATGAGGTATACCATCCTTTTCAGGACTTTAAAACATGGTTAGTTAAAAGATTAACAGACATTTAGAAGGTGCGGGTTTTCCTGATTCTGAGAAACAGTCTGGGCAAAGAAGTTAATTGGCAGATTTTCAAACGCTGGTTTGGGACCACTATTTAAATTTTACGGTTCTTTGCTGTGACTACGTGTTACATATGTCTTTAGCATCCATTTTTGTCATCTTAAAGTAAACCTACTATTTGAATTCGTACTAAAATTTGTAACATACATAAAATGTATAGCTATATCACATTTATTACTAATAGAATAGTTATTCTAAATTATTCTAATAATAATTATTCTAAAGTTTCTTTGTTAAGCTAACCAATAGATCAAGTAGTAAGCTTTTTTATATTTTAGATAAGATGAAACTTCTACAATTTTGCTCACTAATGGGATATATATATATTGTCTTGTATAAAACGTTCACGGGCGTTCTGATGAAGTAGATTAATGAGTAGCAAATATTATTTTTAACTTTAGTCATATAACGCCTAAAGAGAAATGTAAAAAAGAAAAAAATACCATTTACCTTTTCTGCATATTTAAGGAATTATCCTCTGTTAAGTGTGTTCAATGGATGATTTACTTTAACGTATAAACACATCATTTGAAAAATTATTAAACATATGCAAACAAATAATCAAGTAAGTCACCGATCATCCATGAAATATTCAAAGCGACAGATGGATAGGTGGTGTTTGAGATATCTGGTAGCTTCTATTTACCTAAAAATAATCAGCTATGAGCACTCGTTACGAAATCACAGCAGTTTCTATACTTATATATTGCATACCAATTGATCTATATAATTTATTTTGAACATAAGCAAATGTTTTTTGTTTTTTTTAGTTTGTTGATTGTCTAAACGAAACCATAATCAAGTTTAACAAAACACATTTGAGGTTGTGTATCAGATATATTGTTTCATAGGTGGATATGAGGGGAGCAAGGGGGCTTCGTTCCTCCAAAACTGGTTTCTGACCCTAGTTTTTAATTTTTAAATTTATGCAGAACCAATTTTTTAGCAGGACTTTTGGCTAACAATTTTCTGGCGGCATGCCCCCAGACCCCTCTAGCAATAGCATGCTTCGCACACTATGACCAGTCATCTCACACTTGTAGATATTAAGTTTTAACTTGAGAGCATTTTGGTTACTCAACTTGCGCCTGTAGATTGTTTATAAATATCTTTTTCTTATTGGAGATTATTAAAAATTGTAATCAGAAAATCTAAATGATTTTAATATATGAAAGAGTTTTCCGTAAATGAATTATAGTAAAATTGAAGATCTCTTACCTTGAAATGGTAGAAATATTTCTTCTGAACAGACACCAACAAGTTTTTATAAATGCAATAGTAAGTTTCGTGATATTTTTGCTTGATTAATCACTTTATTCTGAGTCGTATGCCGAGAAAAGATAAGCTATAATCTTTCTTTTGTTATCTAGTAAAATAAAAGTAAAAAATAAATAAAAAATGCTGTTGTTGTAGTGTCTTAGTACGTCCGTCTAGCCCCCGATCGTTGGCTTACTGACTTTTCTAGCGCGTGCTCAAAGACATTTTTGTTTAATCAGCGAATCACGTGTCCTGCGGAGAATGGAGAGACGATTCGTGAGAAGCAGGTTGTCATAGTGTTAAGTTTCTCATCCTGAACATGTTTAAAAAATTTACAAGAATTAATTAAATTTATAAAAGTTCCCATTTTTTTCAAATGGAGATCTTCTTCTTCCCGTATCTATACGGGGTCGCTATTTTCGGTTTTGGCAGGGTTTTTACGGCCGGATGCCCTTCCTGACGCCAACCATTCCCTAATTTAGCAGTGTAAGACTAGAGGGAAGGCTGCTAGTCATCACCACCCATCGCCAACTCTTGGGCTACTCTTTTACCAACGAATAGTGGGATTAACCGTCACATTATAAAGCCCCCATGGCTGAAAGGGCGAGCATGTTTGGTGTGACAGGGATTCGAACCCGCTATCCACAGATTGCGAGTCGAGCGCCCTAACCACCTGGCCATGCCGGGCCACAAAAGTATCATTACTAATATTTAAAGAAATTTGTGACGACAATTTCCTCCAAACCAAATAAAGTGAAAAATACCCTTAGATATAAATAATTAATCTAAACTTTTGCTGGCGGGTAGCAACGGCTTGTTGTAGCGACATTTTGACATTGTCGATTAGCTTCTGTTTTTCATCTTCTGGTTTTTTGCTTCACTCATCGTGAGTGGCCCTCTAGTCTTACACTGCTAAATTAGGGACGGCAAGCGCAGATAGCCCTCGTGTAGCTTTGCGCGAAATTCAAAACAAACAAACAAAACAAATCCCCCCTCGTGAGACAACTGTAAGTCTACGGACTTAAAAACGCTAAACTCCGGGGTTCCATTCCCCGCGGTGGAAACACCTGATAGCCCAATGTGGTTGTGTCTAAAACTACAAACAAATATAAACAAATACTTTTTGTTTTGTTTTTATCTAACCAGCAGTGATTAGTAATCATTAATCAAAATTTAATATTAATTCTAACATAAGTTTTACGGATATTTGTATTTGGAAATGAAATGTTTAAAACTTGAAAAGTAAAAGTTTCTGTTTTATTGAAAAAATGTGAAGTTAAATGTTTGGTTAACTATTTTGATATCTCAATCCAGATAATGTTCTTTTTTGTTTCTAGCTCTGTTTGGCTGTGTCAAAAAACAAACAAACTTGATATTTAGATAAAAGAATATAATCAATATATTTGAAAAAAACGACTGATGTGCAAAATTTTGTTATAGTCTTTGTTAATATGACTTATTATGTATGAAACTTTAAGTTTAAATACGTATAAATATACATTTTGTGATATTCGTTGTATTTGCTTGAAATGTAAGAGAATTGCATGCCTAAAACCCTAACCTTGCATTTTTTATTAACCTTTACCTTTTAAAAAGCACCAGTAAAGCATAAATCTCCTATTTCTATGCTTCAGACTGTGGGTGCTCCCGTAAAGACTTACCTGGATTGTTCGACATAAAAAGAAAAACAGACCAAAAGCTCTAATTCGTTATCTTATTTTGCTTTTATACCATATAAATCAAATGAGAGGCGCAAATCCCATATCTGGTCCAAGTCTCATCAGGACTAATGGAAATTCAAGTGTTCCCAAATCGGTCTGTCGGGCTGTAGCAAAAGCTCATTATTCTAAATTTCATTTCGACTGATGGAAATTTTACAGTTTAAAGTAATAGTTTTTGTAATGTTTGACCTTTAACCCCTTAAAATGAAGCAGGAGCTTCAATACAAAAAATGCTAAAAAAGTGTTTGGGCGTACTGGGCCAGAGTATATGTTTACATAGACCAGAGTTAACGTGGATGGTAATAGTGGTGATAGTTCCCACAGTAGTGAGTTGCTGTTTAAAGAGACTTTTACGGAGAAGTTGTCTGGTAACATTTCTAAGTAATGAATAAGATAGAACTAGACGGGAGTTTCACATGCATCACACAATCATTGGTTTTGAATACAAAAATCAATAATTAAGTGTGTGTATTGTTCAAAAAATAACCACTTGGAACTTTATCCAATTTATCTTTGGGGAGTGGATATTTAGATAGTGAAGAGATCTGCAGATCTTTTTATTGCTCAGTGATCAGTATTACAATTTCGAATGGTCTGAAACCGAGCTAAATGATGCTCTAAATTCATTAGTTAAATAAATATCGATATGTATCCAATTTATGATATTTTCCAACAAGATTGATACACACAGTTTTCTTTTTTAGTACAGATATATTTTAATATACAAACAGTAATACAATTTACAATAGCGGTTATTACAAATAGTTATTACACACAGTGATGATTTTTTATTTCTTTAAACAATTCTATTAATCTGAGTATTCACAAGTCAGTATTTTGGAAACTGGTGAACTTTTGAACAAAGGAATCTCATTTTCTCTTTCACGGCAATTTTTATGATCAGTTTGATGGTGTGCTATGGGTTTTAAATTGGTGCATTCTTTGGCCAGTTATTTTCTGTGCTTTTATGAAAAAAATTGGTTGGTAGACTGTTTGCAATCTTTCAAACCGCTTTAAAGAGATGCTTTACTTAGGCCACATTGTAAGTGTGAATGGTGTGCAAACTGATCCTGATAAGGTGAAAGCAGTGCATGACTGGCCAACACCAGACAATGTAGGAGAGTTAAGAAGTTTCTTGGGACTCTGTACTTATTACCGCAAATTTGTGAAGGACTTTGCGACTATAGCTGCTCCACTACATGATTTGACTAAAAAAGGCCAGAAGTTTGAATGGACAGTTTCTTGCCAGCATTATTTCAAGACGTTGAAGGAAAAATTGGCCTCCACTCCACTTTTAAAGCTTCCAGATCCCTCACTGCCGTACATACTGGATTGTGATGCTAGTAATGTCGGAATTGGAGGAGTGTTGTCTCAGAAAGTGAACGAAAACGAACATGTGGTGGCCTACTTCAGTAGAGTTTTGAGTAGACCAGAGAGGAACTACTGTGTAACACGGAGGGAACTCCTTGCTATAGTAAAGAGTCTGACATATTTTCACCCTTACCTTTATGGTGCAAGATTTACCATTAGACCAGACCATGCTGCATTACGCTGGTTAAGATCATTAAAGAACCCAGAGGGACAACTAGCACGTAGGATCGGAAAAATAGACCAGTATAAGTATAATATTGAATATAGAGAAGGAAAATCCCATGGTAATGCTGGTGGACTGAGCCGAAGACCCTGCAAAAATGACTGCACTCATTGCTGCAAAAGAGAGGTTGAACTAACCAGGCACCATGAAGCTGAAGTCAAGCCG